CCAGCGGCGAGTGAGCCCGGGAGAGGGGGTTCGGGCGCGGGCGCTGTCCAGCCCGGGGCCGCAGCACAGCCAGCGAGGGCCGAGGCGCGGGCACCATGGTGGCCCTGTGCCTGCAGGTGGTGGGCTTCGTCACGAGCTTCGTGGGCTGGATCGGCATCATCGTCACCACGTCCACCAACGACTGGGTGGTGACCTGCGGCTACACCATCCCCACCTGCCGCAAGCTGGACGAACTGGGCTCCAAGGGGCTGTGGGCCGACTGCGTCATGGCCACGGGGCTGTACCACTGCAAGCCCCTGGTGGACATCCTCATCCTGCCGGGTAAGGACCCCTCCCCGCGACAGGCTGTTCCCCGCGTGCCGCGCAGACACCGCTGGGGGCCCCAGACCTTCGCGCAGCTTTGGACGTTCTCAGCCCACCGTGAGAGAATCAGGCAGCCCTTCTTCCTCCCGGCCTCAGTTTCCCTGTCTGTCCTTTGGGGTAACGGCAGTAAGGTGGTCGGGGCAATAACGGTGGCCTTGCGAGTGGCCCTGAGAAGTTCGTGCGAGACAGACTCCCAGGAGGAAGCCGGTTCTTGTGACTCCCCTCGCCCCATCCGCCCAGCCTGCCCCGTCCAGTGACCGACTTCGCTGCCCTGGCCCGCGGCACCCCGCTTCCACCCGCACAGGGAAGGAGGACCGCGAGGCTCAAGCGGTTCGATTAGTTTCCGGGTCCTCGTGGGACCGACGAGGCGTCCGGGCTTGGTTAGGGCCCGCTCGCTCCGCTTCCCCGCAGCAGGTCCCGGGACATCCCCGGGCTGCCCCGTTCCCCAAACCCAGGTCGGGATCCACGGGCCTCAGGGCGGGTCTTCTCCCCGCCACCCCCGCCTCTGCCGCGGGGGCGTCCGACCGCCAGCTTGGGGGACCCGGTGTCCTCAGCACGGGTGGGGCTGGATGCCGAGGAGGGGGCGCCCTGTGGACCGCCGATGCCCTGCGGGAAGACAGATCGCGTGGGCGCTCGCCCCAGTCCCCCCACCCCTTCCTCGCCCCAGCCGGCCTCGCGTGGGGAGGGGAGGAAAGGGAGAGCCAGCCGCCCCCTTCCCCCGCCGGCCGCGGGTGGAAACATTCTGGGCCGGGTTTCAAAACAGACTTGAATCACGAGCCAGCTGGTCAAATGGCGAGGTCGCGGGCGCCCCCTCGGGTTTCTGCTGGGAATCTGTCCTGCCCTGCGGGTTGATCTGCGCTCTGGCCCCTACAAAGTGGCCACCGTGCGCTAGCCTCGGCGGACCGCGCGTTTGCAGGCCTGGCTAGGTTTCCTTAGTGGAGTGAGAAAGCCCGCCGGAGGCTGGGGGCGGGAGGGGAGCGGAAACAGCCTTTTATTTCCGGAGATTCTGTCCCCTGAGCGCACCCTATTTAAGTAGTCCTAGTGGGGACCAATCCCCCGTCCTTTTCTCTCAGGTAAGACACGGGTCTTATCCCCATCTTACTCCTGTGAAGCCGCATTTCATTTTGTTTTTAGCTCCCTGTGAATCCAGTCCTCCACTACATTTTACATTCCTGTCTTCTCTGCGTCCTCTCCGGGGCCTGGCATTGCCTTGGCACGCAGTAGGTGCCCACAGTTCCGTCAGCCCGGTCTTCACGGTCCTTTTCAACATTTCGGCCTTTTGAAAGGTCAGACGCTGGAGAACCAGCTCCCGGGGTCCAGCGCTCACAAGCGGGGTGATTGGGCACAAGTTGCTACCTCAACAACCCCCCTTTTGAAAAGGGAAACCAGACCAAGCACATCTCTTTCAGGATTTTTAGGGATCAAATGAGATAAGAAATGTAAACCTCCTGTGGCGGGACGGTGCTCTGTAAATGGAGGCTGTGTTTTATGAAGATCCCAGCATGGTGTTTATTTGTAGGGACCTTCCACTAGAGGATGAAACTACTCTCTGTTGCCTCCCCCCAGCAATGATGTTCCCCTTTACTGAGGTTCAGTGCCCAGTGGTTGTTCTTAGAGAACACAGACATCCCCCAGAGTGGTGCACCTTTTAGAGGGGGCCTAGTGTTTCCAGCTGCCTCCTCACGGTGTGGGTGGAGGTGGGACAGTCCTGGGCTCCGGCTTTTGATTTCTAGGCCTGGCCTTGGCCAGGTAGCACGCCAGCAGCCTGTGCCATGTGTTCTGAACTTGGGGTGCTAGTGGACTGCTTCTTTGTGTGGCCCTGGCTCTTCTGCAAGCTGAGGGGGTAGGGGCCGGGCCTTAGACTTCTTGTGACTGATGGCTGAGGGTCCGGTCAATGGATCCCCGGTTGATTTCCTTCCATTCTGAAGAAGAGGAGCTGAGCCATGGATGGAAGGGAGTCTGTGGAGCCAGAGTTCTGGCCAATGCAGCTTCTAAGACACAGGGTTGAATTGGGGTCTTGGTGCACAGTCGAGCTGGCGGGACTGGAATGAGGGTCCTGGTGTGTGTGGCTGAAGTTGATACCAGTTTCTTGGCTTTGCCACTAACTGTTTCGTCCAGATCACTGACTAACTCCTGAGCAAAAAAGGAGAGTCATACGTGCAACCTTTTTGTTTTGTTTTTGCAGGGGAGACTGTTTTAATGAGAAAGAATAAATACGAAAGTGAATAACAAAGTCTGTGAGGTTCTCTCAGGATCTCGTCAGATTTATCCTACATAAATATTGCACACATTATCATCTGTTTTTAAATTAGAGTTATGACTTGGCATTTTACTGGACAGCATAGAGTTCAGTAGTTTTGCTCTACCCCTTCCCATTCCGTTGGCTTTATCTCTTCACTCAGAGTGTTTACATCGTCTCTTGTGGTTCTGTGTTAAGTCCATGAGATCAGGGCTGGGGTCAGCCCTCCAGGAACCCCCAGGGCTGGAGGATGCCTTTTAAGCGGAGATGGGGGGCGGGGAGGCGCATGATCATTTGTAGGGCAGGACTCATGAAGAGCAGCCTTTGGGGAGACGGCGAAGAGGGGACCCTCAGTACAGGCTAACTTAGGGACACACACTATTCACACCCGATGTGAACTAAAAGCACACAGTGGACCAAAAAAATCACCCTGTGTACCCGGAGATAAAAGTTACTGCCCGGCGTGGAGTAAGAATATCAGTAACAGCAGTACTGCCCGGGGTGGAGTAATAAAACCAGTAACAGCAGTTAACCTTTCCGAGTACCCAGCATAAGCGCTGCGTAAATGAACTCGCTTACCCTTCCGTGGAATTCTATCAGCGAGATGTACAGACTAGCGCATATTCAATTCTTCTCTAGAGATGAGGAAAGGAAAACAGCAGCCAAGAAACCTGCCCAGATCCCGATGGCGTCAGTATATCAACAGCAGGCTAGAATCAGCCCCGATTTACAGAAGACATCTTGGAATAGCTGAGTTTTTATCTGAATCTTTCCCAAGGTGCCAAGATACATGTCCACTCCCAGGCCCTTCATCCTGGATGCCTGGTGGTCTACCAGGAGCCCCGTTCCGTCACCCCAGCCCCTAGTTTGTCCTGGGTTGTTTAGAAGTTGAAGGTGTTCAGTGACAGACAACTCTCAGCACATCCTCGGTCCTGGAATGAGGCCTGGGGAGGAAGGCAGGTGGCGAAGGTTTCCCACAGGCGGGGCTCGGGAGCAAGGAGGTGCCCCCATGGGCTGACCACCCTGTCCACTCTCTGTTCCAGGCTACGTGCAGGCCTGCCGCGCCCTCATGATTGCTGCCTCGGTCCTGGGTCTGCCGGCCATTTTGCTGCTGCTGACGGTGCTCCCCTGCATCCGGATGGGCCATGAGCCTGGAGTGGCCAAGTACAGGCGGGCCCAGCTGGCTGGTGTTTTGCTCATTCTGCTGGGTAAGACAGCTTTCTACAGGGCGCTCCAACTCCGAGCGAACCTGGGGAGTCTGGTGGTTATTGCTTTGTTGAGTTCAAGAGAAACGTGAAAGCAAGCCAAGTGCGTCCACTGGAGAATAGACCCCATGCTCCATGTCCCTTCATTCTTCACAGGCAGTTTGCACAAAGGGTTAAGTAATGTCTGCGAAGGTCGCTGAACATAAAAATGAGTTTGAGAAGAAAACGAGGATTTCGAGGGTAGGAGGCACCTCTGGGAGAGACCAGAGGACAGAGGAATGTTCCAGGGAGGGTCTCCACCCAAGTTTCACAATGGCTTCCCTCTTTGAACACTTATGCCCGACCACAGCAGATCAATCGAATCAGAATTTTCTAGGGATTGGGCTGGCAAAGATATCTCTGCCTAGAAAGCTGCCTAGATGATTCTTATATGCAGTGAAGATTGAGAATCTCGATGAATACGTAAAGACGGACTAGAGAAACAAGACGACAAGAGACAGGTGAGGCGTCGAGGGCAGTAGCACAGGCGGAGAGCTGGCTTTAACTAGGTGGTGTTCATGGGGCAGCTGGGCCCAGCACCGTCGTGGGCACCGGGAATGCTGGGGGAAAAGAGCAGTCTGTATGTGGACACCGCGTCAGTGTGACCCGTGTTCTCCTCACGCCGCACGCAGGCTGTGCACACACGCAGGATGGCACTCAGGCCACCCCGGATGTGTTTCCCAATGCTGAGGAACCCAGCAGAGTCTGGAGAGAAAACGTGGTCACGTCATGGCTTGAAGGGAGGGACAGCCCAGGCCAAGGAAATGGCATGCACTTGTTCCATTTTGCTGAAGACTCCTGAACACACAGGGCTCAGTTTAACAACCCATGGAGGGTCTTTCTAGCTCTGTGTTCTTCAGGGATTTCATTTCTCTCCATTATTTCTCTTGGGTGCTAATTCCGTTAGATGTTCTAAGTCCTCGTAGAAGTTGTCATTTTAAGAGTAGCATCTCCTGTTGCCAAGTGCACCTCTCAGTGAAGAGAACCTGCTCTGGACAGTCACCGTCTCCTAGCACAAGGGATCCGCTGCCCCAAACGGGCACATCAGATCATGCACTAGAGGGGGAAAGGAAAGGGGGTTCTGGGGGGGCTGAAGCTACTCGGCGCACTCACCTCCTACCTAAAGGCTTCTCACCCACAGTGTACCCAGGACTGCAAAGACATGGAAGTTTGCAAGAGATTTGAAGCAACAGAATTCAGGGCTGGGAGTTGGTGTGTGTGTGTGTGTGTGTGTGTGTGTGTGTGCGTATGTGTGCGTGTGTGTGCGTGCGTATGTGTATTAACAAGTGTGAAAAGACTACTGGCATTTCCAGAGAAGAGTCTGTGTGCGGGGTTTCGATCTGAACTCCACCAAAGCTGGGTGGGAGTGCTGCATGGAGCACGGGGTCCGTCTTCGGCACTTTATCCAACTCACAGAGGCCCCTGGGCAGTCAGATCTTTGCATCTGGTGACCTTTCCAGCGGGAAGGCCGAAGCTCTACAAGGAACCTTGTGCAAAATCTAGATGAAGCCTTTCTCATCCTAGACATTGGCTGTCGTTTGCTACTTTTTTTCACCTACTCGCAGGAACCTCAGAAGGCTTTCTTGGACTCTGAGGATGGCAGAGCCAAAAGATGGGTCTGTGTGTCTGGCCTTCCACGCGAGAGTCACAGAGTATCCAAAAGCGAGAGAGCACATTGAAGCAGGCAGCAAACCTGCGAATGACAGGGATAAGAGCAAAGTCGATGTAGGCAGCCCTTCGAATGTCTAGTTGAATAACTGATTATTAAAAAAAAAACAACAAACAATCCAAAACCCCCAAGCAGACAACCCCTGACTCCTTAAAAATCCAACCAGTGGGGTTGGTAGGTGGTATGGCAGTTAAGGGGCTTGACTCCCACATGACCAACCTCAGTTCAGAATCTGGACCTGGTGGCTTGCTTTCTTACTTTCCATCTCTCTCTCTCTGGTCAAATTAAAAATAACGATAATAAAAATAAGTAAATACATTATTTTAAAAAGATTCAATAGTTATTCAATAACTGAATAAAATAAAAAAAACTTTCAATATTCTTGGCATCTGATAAATATTAAAAACAACAGCAACAACAAATAAACAAAAAAACCCAACCACAGGTTTGAAACTCCCAGGCTGAATAGTTTTACTTTTTTTTGGAAGTGGGTTGGGCCAACTGGAGGTGTAGTGGTTAAGGTGCCAGACCCCACATGGCCAACAGTGACTTCTGAGTCCCAGACCCAGCTTGAAAAACACACTTGGCACGTGTGCGTGCGTGCTCAAAATCCCGAGAGGAGAATGGAGGAGAGGGGCTTGTGGTGTGACCATGCCCTCTGGGGAGTGGTTTCTCACTTCTCTCTCTCTGTGTGCATCTCTCTCCAGCAAGTGCACAGGCCCTGTGGCAAAATAAATCCATGAAAGTGGGTTGTTATAAGGTAGACAGAATCGTGGGACAGTGAGGTGGGGCTGGGTGGCACGCGTGTGTCCCTCAGTTGCAGTCTGTCCGT